CCCTCTGGACCCCCGGTCCCCGCGGCCTGCCGCCCCCTCCCATCCTGCGTCCCTCACCCGCCTGGAAGTCGATGGTCCTCAGCATTTCGGCCACGTGCTCCACGCTCACGGTGAACTGATCCATGCTTTCATAGCCCGGCTCTGGCCGTCCTGCCAGCTCCACTTTCGACATTGTCCCGACCCTGCGGCGCGGCAGCCGCTCAGCTGGAAACGCCCCCCGCACCCGCAACCCCCTCCGCGCGGCGGCGGAGCCCCGGCAGCCCCTTCCTTGCCCTTCCCGCTCGGCCTACTCACTTATTGATCAGCTCCTTGGCCTGCTGCAGGGAAGAAAGGAGGGGGAGCGTAAGCATCGTGCCAAGCGCTGGCAAAGTCCCGTTTCTGGTGCCCACAGTCCCGCGGGGTGGGCGGGGATGCGTATCCCAATTCGTTGAGGAGCAGGTGGACTCAGACGGGGGTGACTCGCCCGAGGCAAAGTGGGGCAGACGGGTGCCGGAGGTAAGACGGGAGCCCCGCCCTCCAGGTGGTGCCCTCCAGGTGCCCGGGCCCCCACGGCAGCCACTCTGCGGCCTGCCTCCCTCCCCCGGGGCCCACCTGGAGGTAGAGCGCCATCTGTGGCTCCTCCATGGACTGGATGGCCGACTCCACGAGCTTAGAGGAAGCCTCCAGGTGGTCTCCGTACTGGCGGATGAGGCCCCGCACGCGCTGCAGCTTCTGCTCCTGCTCGCGGGCCAGCGCCTGCAGCAACTCAGCCTTGCGTTCTTCCAGCACCGCGCACAGGGCCTCGAACCTCTGGGTTAGTAACTGCTTCTGCCGCCGGCTATTGTCCTGAAAGAGGGGAGCAAGGGTGAGACCTCCTTCTTGGTCGGGAGAGCACTCCCCGCCAAAGGGAAGCCACCGAGGCCAAGAAAGTACCCCACATAGCAGCAGACCTACAGGTGCAGCCAAGGGCAGGGTCTTCTCAGTAATAACCGTTACAAGATTTTTAAAAATTGAGATATAATTGACTTTTAACATTACATTAGTTTCGGGTGTACAATGTAGTGATTCGGCATCTGTATATATTGTGAAGGGATCACAAGTCTAGTTACCATCCGTCACTATAGTTACAAAGCACAGAGAAGTGAAGTGACTGGGCCAAAGTCACAGAGCTAGCAAGGGGCACAGCTGGGACTCAAACCTAGCAGCTTGGCTAAGCATATCCCACCACTTGTGATTCACCCCCCAGGAACCCAGAAATCTCCCCTCCTCCCATCCCAGGCTCACCTCTATGGTCTGGCACACCTCCTCCATCTGTGTGATCACTGCCTGCACGCGGTCGTTGCCGGCCACCAGCATTGCGATTCCATCGCTGAGCTCACTCTGCCACACACACAGGCCAGCACTTAGAACTGGGGGGCCCTGCCTAGAGCCGTACCCCTCCCATCCCGGCCAGGGCGCCCCCTCCACCCCACCATCAGGGCTATTCCAGAGATCTAGATGGCTTGGAACCATCTAAGAAGTGTGGAAGCACATTCATGGGTTCTGGAAGGAGGCGGAGAGAGGAGCCCCTCCACCACCAAATGAGAAAGGAGCAGACATTTGCCAAACATTCAGGCCTCGGGCTAAGTGCTTTATCTGTAGATTCGTGTCTTCCATCAATTTGGAAATATTCTTTGTAATGATCTGTTAGGATACTATTGCCTCTTCTCCATTCTTTTTATTTTCTCCTTCTGTGACTCTGAGGAGGCATGTGTCAGAGCTTCTCATCCTCATCTCCCGGTGTTGCATCCTGGGCTATTTTTTTAGGCCTCTCTTCCTGTTTGCTAATTCTCTCTTCAGTGAAATTTCAACAATTATATTTTCATTTTTTTAAGTTTATTTATTTATTTTGAAAGAGAGAGAGAGAGAGAGAATCCCAAGCAAGCTCCATGCTGTTAGCACAGAGCCTGATGTGGGGCTCCATCCCATGCACAGTGAGATCAAGACCTGAGATGAAATCAAGAATTGGACACTTAACTGACTGAGCCACCCAGGCACCCCTATATTTTCATTTCTTAAAGCAATTCCTTTTTAAAAAAATATTTTTATTTATTTTGAGAGACAGAGAGAGCGAACAGGAAAGGGGCAGAGCGAGAGAAGGAGAGAGAGAATCCCAATCAGGCTCTGTGCTGTTAGCTTGGAGCTCATCATGGGGCTCAAACCCACGAACCAGGAGATCATGACCTGAGCTGAAACCAAGAGTTGGACACTTAACAGCTGAACCACCCATGTGCCCCTAGAATTTCATTTTTAAAATCTCTATTTGGTTCTTTGTTAAATAAGCATTTTTGATAATCTATTATTGCCTGTTCTATTTATTCCATTTTTTAAATGTTTATTTTTGAGAGAGAGAGTAGGGGAGGAGCTGAGAGAGAGGGAGACACAGAATCCAAAGGAGGCTCCAGGCTCGGATCTGTCAGCACAGAGCCGGATGCAGGGCTCAAACCCACAAACTGGGAGATCATGACCCGAGGCAAAGTTGGATGCTCAAACGATTGAGCCACCCCAGGCACCCTTTTTATTCCATGTTTTTAAAAAAGCATTTTATACACAGTGATACTCTATTCTTTAATAATTCCAATATCTGAGGGGTGCCTGGGTGGCTCAGTCAGTTAAGCGTCTGACTCTTGATTTCGGCTCAGGGCATAATCTCACAGTTCATGGGTTTGAGCCCCGCATTGGGCTCTGAGCTGACAGTGTGAAGCTTGCTTGGAATTCTCTCTCTCTTCCTCTCTCTCTGCCCCTCCCCACTCTCTCTTTCTCAAAATAAATTTAAAAAATTTTTTTTAACTATTTTTTTCCATTTTTTTTAATGTTTATTTTTGAGACACAGAGAGACAGAGCTTGAGCAGGGGAGGGGCAGAAAGAGAGGGAGACACAGAATCCGAAGCAGGCTCCAGGCTCCGAGCTGTCAGCACAGAGCCTGATGCAGGGCTCAAACTTGTCAACCAGGAGATCACGACCTGAGCCGAAGTCAGACGCTTAACCGACTGAGACACCCAGGCGCCCCCTGAGCCACCCAGGCGCCCTTAAATAAAAATTTTTAAAAATTAAAAACAATAATTCCAATATCTGAATTCCTCAGGGGTCTGATCTGTACTTTGTTTCTACCGCCTGCACTTATGCGGTACATTTATTTCTGTATCTTCACTTTTGAATTGATATTTTGTTGTTCTTAATCTAAGGAAAACCCAAATACCTAAATTGAGGGTGTTTTCCTCCAGGCAGAATCTGCTTTCGCTTTTGTCAAAAGTCAGGTGGCATGACCGACTACCTTAGTTCCTGGGATTCCAGTTTAACCTGGGTTTCTTCAGTTCAGGTGTCCACCTTACAGAGGTCTGGAGACACAGTCTCATCCCAACGTAGTCTCATCCCTCTGGCTCAGCAATACTGCCAGCATTTACCCCGTGGGAAGTCTGGCCTTTTCTGTGCTTACCACCCCGGGTTCTGTGGTCAGCTTACTGCCCCTTCCTCACCCCACTCCACCCCCACTTGGAGATTTCCTTTACTTTCTATGTGCCCACTGATATAATTTTTAAATTATGTTTTATGTCGAATCTAGCTGTGTGTCCGTGAGAGGGCCCGGAGAGCATCTAGGCCACCAAACTGAAGTTGCTCACATCTTCCATGATCTAATTGTGTCCTTACAGCGACTCTCAGAAGCAGGCATTTTCATCCCCATTTTACAAGCAAGGAAAGTCAGGGCCAGAGAGGTCAAGTGACTTACCTAAGGTCACACTGAGTCATGCATAGAGCTGGGACTGTAGCCCTGATCTGCCTGCCTTTACATGTGTGTGTGTGTGTGTATAATTTTTTTTTGAGAGAGAGGAGACGGCTTGAGTGCCATGTGAGCAAATAGGGGAGAAGCAGGGGGTGGAGAAAGGGAGAGGGAGAGAGAGGGAGAAAGAGAGAGAGAGAGAATCCCAAGCAGGCTGCATGAGGGAGGACTCCATCCCGTGACCCTGCGATCATGACCTAAGCCAAAATCAATAGTCAGTTGCCCAACTGAGCCGCCCAGGCGCCCCCTGATCTGCCTGCCTTTAAAACCAAGTGCAGTGACTTTTAAACCCAAGTGGAGTGACAGGATGGAAGTCTGAGAGGCTGTCCTGTCTCTGGTCCCACATGCCTGCTCCCTCTGCTGCTTGATACCTTCTGGCGTTTGTAAATGGTGGGCAGGGGGGCCACCTCACAGTCCTTGTGGGCACCGAAGACCTTACAGAGAGAGCAGGTGGGCACTTCACAGCTCAGGCAGTAGATATTGATCTTCTCCTCTTCATGCTCCTCGCACATAAGGTGCTGCTCAGCCTTGGAGTGCAGTGGTCTGGAGGGGAGCGGGCAGGGTGGCGGAAGGGTCAGGGGCCAGGCTGGGGGGAGGTGGGCCCCACAAGTGCAGGTCCCCATGAACACCTTCTCTTCAGCCCTCACCAACCACCAATCACAGTTGGAGCTGGGCTGGGCAGGTGAGCGACTTCCACAGTGCCCTTCATTCGAGGAATACAGAGAGCTAAGGGGTAGAGGAGGCCTAGATCCAAGAACAGCATCTGTTCCAGGGGGCCAGGGAAGTCCCACAGGGCAGGAAGCCATAGAAGGTTGTCAAGGGCCTTGCTGGTGGACTGCCAGCCCCTCTGCCAGGTGGAGAGGGTGCAGGTGAAGCCCTGCCCAGGATCTGAGATGCCTCAGCTGGGTGACCTGGGGCAAATTCCTCCCCCTCCCAGGGTCCAGTCCTCTAATCACTAAAGAGGCTGATCCTTTCAGCCCTTCCCTTCTGGCTGATTGGTTCCCCTCTCTGTTCTGTGTCCCAGGCCCTGCTCCTTTGAGAGACAAGAGGTCTTGACAGCTCACCGGGAAGACTCTTGTTTGTAAATGTCGATAATGTTCTCCACTAGTAGGTTTCTCTGCAGGCCATAGACGCCATGTCTGTCCAGGACAACCTCATGCCTGCAAGATGGGCAACGGAAACGGCCTCCGGAAGACACAGTGGTGGAGCCCCGGGATTGCCACAGAGGGTTCGAGGCCTGTAGGGACAAGTAGCATGAGAGAACACGCACGGTGAGGCATGGAGGAACGGGGAGTAGGCAGGGGGAAAGGTTGTGGGGCTGAAATAAAATGTAGGAGAATGGTGGAAGGGGAGGCATCAGCTCCGTTCCTTGGGGAGGTCCTCCTCCTCTGAAAACGGTGGGTGGCCATGGAGATCTTCTTTCCCACTTTTGACTCATTACTCCTTAAGTGTCCCTGCATCCAGAACCCAACTTTGGTCAAGGCCCAGTCAGGATGGTCTCCCTAATGGGGCCCAACTTGCAGGTGTGGGGAGACATTGGCAATGGCAGGAAGGTTAAGGTTGGAAATGGACTCTGTGTGGTGCAGCCAATGTCCTCCTGGGGCTTTCACGGACCACAGCTAGGGGAGATTCTCTGTAACCCTCAGCAGGGAAGCCCAGACAAGTGCTGAATAATGGGGCACACAGGCCACATCGTGCCGGGCAATTCCTAGGAAACCATTCTAGAGCCTGGGAGCCAGGAGTTCTGTGTTCTTGTGCTGCCCTTCATACTGTTCTACCATGTAAATTCGAGCAAGCATTCGATGTCTGGAAAACTAAGGACTACACTGGATTATTCATTCTACAACAAATATTGAGGGTGCCAGGTAATTTCGAGGCTCTGGGGATAAGATGAACAAAAGCCACCCTGCCCTAAGGACAAGCAAACTGACAACTACATCTGGCAGGCAGGGTTATGACAAGAGTCAAGCTTGGAAGGCAGACGTACGAGAGATGGTCATCACTTATACCTCTTAGAGAACTTGCTCCTTCCCATCCTAAAAGGGAGAACCCCACTATGGCCCAGGCCACAGATGACTGGCTCAGAGTTGAGGAGGTGATCACCTGACCCAAGCAGAACCAATCACATTTTCTTTCCAGGAATTTAGAACTGAGACACAGAGGTGGGGGTGGCTAGACCACCTGCGGCTCTGAAACTGAAAAGACCTGTGGAGTTGGGCAGAGAGCTGACATTGTGGAGACACTGCAAAGACACAGTCTTGTGCAAGTGGAAGTGGAAAGCCCAAGGGGTCAGAAAGTATGAACAGGAAGGCTTGTCTTCGGAGAAGACCACAAAGTCAACTTGTGGACAGCAGCAGAGAGAAAAAACTGGCAGAGACTGTTTGAAGTTCCTCAGTATTCACCTTCTCTTCTTCAGTAACAGAGCCTCTGAGTTTTTAGCAAGACACATGGAATAAAGACTGTGCGTCTGGGGCGCCTAGCTGGTTAAGCTTCCGACTTCGGCTCAGGTCACGATCTCACGGTTCCTGAGTTCAAGCCCTGCACTCACTGCTGTCAGCATAGAGCCCACTTTGGATCCTCTGTCCTTCTCTCAACCTGTTCCTCCCCTGCTTGTGCTCTCTCTCACTCGCTCACTCTCACTCTCAAATAAAATAAATAAATAAATAAAACAAACAAGACTCTGTGTCAAGTCTCCCTTCCGACTGAGTATGACCAGGTGGCTACATTCTGGCCAACAGGATGTAGACAGAAATGTTTTATGCAACTTCTAGGAAGTATCTTTAATGGAAGGGGCATATGCCCTACTCTTTTCTCCTTCCTGTTGGCTACAATGAAGATGGAGTAGCTCCAGCTGAAGCAGCCATGTGGCTCCATGAGGTAGTCACAGGATGAGAATGGCAACAAGATAAAAGGAGGGAGTCTCTGGACTGCCTACCTATACTTTGGCTTGAGAGAAAGAACACATTTTTTTACCTTCTTTAAGCCATTACTATTTTGGGTTTTCTGTCACTTAAGCACAACTTAGTCCTAGCTGGCTGCAAGGCCATGAACTCCTAGAGACTAATGAAGAGAATAGTCACCTGTGACTTTGAAAACTTAGATGTATTTCCTGAAGGTGAGTTTGATGAAATTCTCCAAATCCTCACGCTGGACATCAGCCAGAGGGACCCTTATGTGTGCAACAGCACCCAGGATACACAGAGGGCATCCAAGTCCGCAGTCTTCTTTGAACCTTTAGAAGCAACAGATGTAGGCAAGGCAGGAAATGTGGCCTCTGGGAAGTGGGCAAGCCTATACTGGGGAAAGTGACTGGCATGTCACAAATCTCACATTTGGGGGGAATTTCTTGTGAATCCTAAGAAGTTAACACATTAGGCCAGAACCGATTACTTTGAGATTATCCAAGGCTGCGTTTGTGCCTTTGTCTTTCTCAGTAGCTGCAATTGTATATAAATCCTGCTGAGTTTAGGGTGTGGGTTAAAGTGTAAGACCACTGGGCTTTTGCTTACTTAATACAATGACCTTTCATTACTTAGAATCCAAGTGAGCAAGGAGGTGTTGGGAGAACTCCAAGCCTGCAAACTCCTGGAGGGATCTTATTTCTCTTTGATTCGCTAGTGGCTAGCATATAAAAGTGCTCAGGAAATGGTTGAATGGGTGGAAATGGGTTTGAATGTTTGAATGGGCTAAAGTCTTAGCCCAGAGCACAAACTTCTGAGTTAGCCTCTCTCCTCCACCTTCCTCCCTCACAGCCCCCCCTTCCTCTATACTCATTATTTAACATTCAACTCATGTTTTGAGGGCCAATTATGTGTCAAGCACCATGCTATATGGGCTTCCCAGACATTATTGAATTTAACCCTCAAGAACTTCTTGTAAATATGGTGGAGGACATGAACATTAACCCCCTAACTAAGACTACAGGAAGTATAGTGACAATGGCTAACCGGACACATACTTTATGCCAGGTTCTTCTCTAAGCTCTTTTATCTGTATTAACTCATTTAAACCTCTTATCGACCCTTGAAATAGGTACTACTATTAGCCCCATTTCAAAGATACGAAATTGCAGCCCAAAGGTGTTAAATAAATTGTACGGGGTCATCAGATAATAGATGGCAGAACCAATATTTGAACTCAGGCACTCTAACCCCAGGGTCCATTCTAAATATCAATATGCTAGAAGTGCCTGGGTGGCTTGGTCAGTTAAGCATCCAACCAGCTCAGGTCATGATCTCACAGTTCGTGAGTTTGAGCCCCGTGTGCTGACAGCTCGGAGCCTGGAGCCTGCTTAGGATTCTGTGTCTCCTCTGCCCTTCCCCTGCTCGTGCTCTGTCTCTCTCTGTCTCCCAAAATTGAAAAAACATTAAAAAAAATCAATATAGTACATTGTCAGATGGAGTAGAATTTAGGCCACCTGAAGGATGATGCCCAGAGCTAACATTCGCCCCTCTGAATCGCAGGTAAAACAGATTTTAGTTAGAGTCGTAAAAGGCCACACATCAACCCTTCACAAAGGAAACAACAACCTAAAAGTGAGCTGTGCAACTGTGGATTGATGTTATTTGAGCTGAGGTAAACAAAACATGACCCATCAACCCAAAACCCCTTGTGCCATGAAGCAATACAAGGGTCCGGCTTGCAACCAGAATAACCTGTGTCTCTGCGAAAAGGAAAGGAAATCGCTCAAATCTCAGGGAGACCTGCGCCCATGGATCTCCACATGCCCTCAGACTAGCTAGTTCACCAGATTCTGTGTGAAAAACATACTGAGGCGATATAACCAAATTGAGCCACTCAGCTGCCTGCTAATCTGGGTCTAATTCACCACAGAAGCCAAAGGACTGGGCTTGCAACAGAGATGCAAACCGATGGGAACATCCAGCTAGCCAGTTTACAGTTAAGTGGACCGTGGAAGAAAGCCAAGGTAGACGGGGGGTTGACTAACGAATTCATCCTCAGCCTCAGATAAAACTGCCCTGATTCAAAGAGGAATGGTAAGCAGAAGGGATCCAAAGGGAGATGTAAACGGACATAATAAAAAAGGAAAAAGAAAGCATGACAAGCAACGGACAGACGAAGAATATGCTTTGTGAGAAGAACTGCTTCTAGACACAGTATTTCAATCTAACACTTTTAAAGAAAACAGGGGCACCTGGGTGGTTCAGTCGGTTGAGCGTCCGACTTCGGCTCGGGTCATGATCTACAGCTTGTGGGTTCGAGCCCCGCGTCGGGCTCTGTGCTGACAGCTCAGAGCCCGGAGCCTGCTTCGGATTCTATGTCTCCCTCTCTCTCTGCCCCTAACCCACTCACATCCTGTCTCTGTCTCTCTCAAAAATAAATAAACATTAAAAAAAAATTTTTTTAAAGAAAGAAAACATAGTCTCTTTGATTAAAGAAGAGATATAAGTGATCAAAGCTGGGAGAAGTGAAGGGAAATGGCAGAATTAAGAAATCAAGTAAAATATGTTACGAACATAGAAGCGAAATTCACTTATGACACTACAGCAGGAAGTAGAATGGAGACACTGGCGGAAGTCACATAGATCATAGTGGAAAATAACAGGGTAAAAGCAATCAGGACTACGTGCTACAACGTGGATCAACCTTGAGGACTTTGTGCTAGCTGAAATTAGCCTGCTGCGAAAGTACAAATACTGTATGATCCCTCTATATGAAGTACCTGAAATAGTCAAATTCATAGAGATAAAAAGTAGAATGGTGGTTACCAGGGGCTGAGGGGCAGGGAAGCGGAAGGTTATTATTTAATGGGTACACAATTTCCATTTGGAATGATGAAAAGTTCTGGATACACAACAGTGTGAATATACTTAATGACACTGAACTGCACACGTAAGAATGGTTAAGATAATTGGGGTGCCTGGGTGGTTCAATCGGTTAAGCATCGGACTTGGTTTTGGCTCAGGTCATAATATTGTGATTTCTTGAGTTCAAGCACCATGTCGGGCTCTGCACTGGCAGCACAGACCCTACTTGAGATTCTCTCTCCCTCTCTCTCTGCCCCTCCCCAACTCGTGCTGTCTCAAAATAAATAAACTTAAAAAAAAAAAAAAGAATGGTTAAGATGACAAATTTATATTATGTGCATTTTACCACAATATAAAAAGTTAAAAAAAAAAAAAAAAGCAATCATGACTTGGGACATCTGGGCCAAGGAAGCAGATTTGGGTGGACCGGGAAGCCCACTACCTCTTCACCACTTCCTCACCAGGTAAA